TGTGTGTGTGTGTGTCTGTGTGCGTGTCCGTGTGTGTGTGCTTGTGTGTCTGTGTGTCTTTGTGTGTCTGTGTGTGTCTGTGTGTGTGTGTGTGTGTGGTGTCTGTGTGTGTGTGTGTGTCTGTGTGTGTGTGTGTCTGTGTGCGAGTGTCTGTGTGTGTGCGTCTGTGTGTGTGTGTGTGTGTCTGCGTGTGCGTGTCTGTGCGTGTGTCTCTGTGTGTGTGTGTCTGTGTGTGTGCGTGTCTGTGTGTGTGTGCGTGTCTGTGTGTGTGTGTGTGTCTGTGTGTGTGTGTGTGTCTGTGTGTGTGTCTGTGCGTGTGTCTGCGTGGTGTGTCTGTCTCTGTGTGTCTGTGTGTGTGTGTGTCTGTGTGCGTGTCCGTGTGTGTGTGCTTGTGTGTCTGTGTGTCTTTGTGTGTCTGTGTGTGTCTGTGTGTGTGTGTGTGTGTGGTGTCTGTGTGTGTGTGTGTGTCTGTGTGTGTGTGTGTCTGTGTGCGAGTGTCTGTGTGTGTGCGTCTGTGTGTGTGTGTGTGTGTCTGCGTGTGCGTGTCTGTGCGTGTGTCTCTGTGTGTGTGTGTCTGTGTGTGTGCGTGTCTGTGTGTGACCTGTGTGTGTCTGTGTGTGTGTGTGTTGTGTACCGGTCTGCGTGTGTCTGTCTGCGTGTGTGCGTGTGCGTGTGCGTTGCGATTGCGCGAGCGCGTTGGGTGTGCGTGGTGCGTGGTGCGTGGTGCGTGGTGCGTGGTGCGTGGTGCGTGGTGCGTGGTGCGTGGTGCGTGGTGCGTTGTGCGTGGTGCGTGGTGCGTGGTGCGTGGTGCGTGGTGCGTGGTGCGTGGTGCGTGGTGCGTGGTGCGTGGTGCGTGGTGCGTGGTGCGTGGTGGGTGGTGCGTGGTGCGTGGTGCGTGGTGCGTGGTGCGTGGTGGGTGGTGCGTGGTGGGTGGTGCGTGGTGGTGGGTGGTGTGGTGGTGGGTGGTGGGTGGTGGGTGTGGGTGTGGGTGTGGGTGGTGGGTGGTGGGTGGTGGGTGTGGGTGGTGGGTGGTGGGTGGTGGGTGGGGTGTGGGTGGTGGGTGGTGTGTGGTGTGTGGGTGTGTGTTGTGGTGGTGGTGTGTGTGTGGTGTGTGGTGTGTGGTGTGTGGTGTGTGGTGTGTGGTGTGTGGTGTGTGGTGTGTGGTGTGTGGTGTGTGGTGTGTGGTGTGTGGTGTGTTGTGTGTTGTGTGTGGTGTGTGTGTGTGTGTGTGTGTGGTGTGTGTGTGTGTGTGTGTGTGTGTGTGTTGTGTGTGTGTGTGTGTGTGTGTGTGTTGGTGTGTTGTGGTGTGTTGTGGTGTGTTGTGGTGTGTTGTGGTGTGTTGTGGTGTGTTGTGGTGTGTTGTGGTGTGTTGTGGTGTGTTGTGTGTTGTGTGTTGTGTGTTGTGTTGTGTGTTGTGTGTTGTGTGTTGTGTGTTGTGTGGTGTGTTGTGTGTTGTGTGTTGTGTGTTGTGTGTTGTGTGTTGTGTGTGTGTGTGTCGTGTGTGTGTTGTGTGTGTGTGTGTGGTGTGTTGGTGTGTGTGGTGTGTTGTGTGTGTGGTGTGTGTGGTGTGTTGTGGTGTGTTGTGGTGTGTTGTGGTGTGTTGTGGTGTGTTGTGGTGTGTTGTGGTGTGTTGTGGTGTGTTGTGTGTTGTGGTGTGTTGTGGTGTGTTGTGGTGTGTTGTGGTGTGTTGTGGTGTGTTGTGGTGTGTTGTGGTGTGTTGTGGTGTGTTGTGGTGTGTTGTGGTGTGTTGTGGTGTGTTGTGGTGTGTTGTGGTGTGTTGTGGTGTGTTGTGGTGTGTTGTGGTGTGTTGTGGTGTGTTGTGGTGTGTTGTGGTGTGTTGTGGTGTGTTGTGGTGTGTTGTGGTGTGTTGTGGTGTGTTGTGGTGTGTTGTGGTGTGTTGTGGTGTGTTGTGGTGTGTTGTGGTGTGTTGTGGTGTGTTGTGGTATGTTGTGGTGTGTTGTGGTGTGTTGTATTCCTCCCCTCGCTTGCCCCCACCTCTGCAAATGTCTGCAGAAAATCATCCAGGCTGAACGCTCTCAGGCACATCGGTTTCAAGATATCCACCTGAAACAGAGCTTGAAGCAATCTGCAGAACTCCTACCCTCCCAGAGCAGTGATATGTGAATGTTGATATAGTTGGTTGTCTTAACGTATCTTTCATATGTGTTCTAGAGATGTACTAAAACAATTCATGAAACAGTATGATGTCTTCCTCGTGATATGTGTTCTTCTTTTTAGAAGGTTTTTGTTTAGTCTCTGGAGCTCTATTATTTGTTTCCTTCTTGTGGACATACGTTTATTTATTTTTCTTTGTTTTTCTTTTCCAACTTTAGGGATGTGGCCAGGAGAAGCTATCTGTCTTCCAAGTCCTTGTGAATTCACTTTTGCCAATACACTTTTTTTTATCTAATGCTGCTACATCTCTAGGAAATACTTCTACTAATAACGAAACTTGGTCAGAATCTCTTAGTCTCTTGACCACCAATACGAAAACCATGGTGCGGCCCTCGATTTAGAGACACCTCTGGGGTCTGGATTTTTGGTTGCTTCTGCAATGTTGACCCCCTAATCATCAACCCCAGTTTATTACTGGGGGGGGGGTGTTCCCGTCCAAAAGTGAACCATCCCCACCAAAACCAGGGACACCCCCATATTAATACACCGGGGTATTATCATTAGGTTCAACATAATAGTCTGGTTCAACATGATATGGTTTACTTTTCCCTTACAACTCCAAGCCCTGGGGAAGTTAATATTTTACAGACATATAGCCCATGTTACCCCCAAAAAGTTGAAAAATTGTGTTTTTAAGAGGTAAGTTTACTAATAGCGGGGTGTTCTCTATCTGTGGCCACACTTCTCCGCGAAACGACCTCTCCTGCACCGGCTTCGCACGGCCAGCGGGCAGGTCGGCGCTCACCTGCGCGAAAAAATCGGCCAGCTGCGCGACCCTTCTTGAAATTTGAGGGGGAATCCCAGGCAAATGCAACTTGTCTTGATGCTCTCTGTTTGAGTTGTGTGGAAAGGACAAAAGCGGCACTTCTTCCCCCCTTGGAGGGGATCCATGGGAAGAGAAGACAGCTTCCAAACTCAAGATGTGGATCCTTTGGCTCAAGGCTTTGACCGTCCTACCAGAGGTCTTCTCGCCATGGCACACATGGAGCCACAAAGAGTGTCGAGTCAAACGAGCGCACGCAAGCCACTCGGACACCTGGATGCAAAAGCCAAAACGATTTGGCAAATGCCGATGCGGAAAGACTCTAGAGTATAAACTGTGCCCGCAAAACAGGAGCCCTTTTCGGGGTTGACCATTTATAGTGGGGAAACCACCAAGCAAGAGGGAAGTTTCGGAAAACCACGTGAAACCCACTGGAAAAGTTGGGAGGCACCTCTCCGGGCGCAATCCACCCCAATCACCGAGGGACTGGCATCATCCAATCCCCCACCGCACCCCTGCCCGCATGAATGACCTCCGTGCCTGATTGGGCTGGTTTCTGAATCAAAATCCTTGTTGTTTTTCGCAAAGAACCGCCTGATTCATCCCACAATCCGTGGGAACCCGCAGGGTTCCACTTTTGGATTCCCAGACTTCAACCCAAAACGATTTTTTGGAAAAAATCAGCCACCGGGTTGAAGTCTACCTGGAGGTCCAAAAAACCAGTGGAACCCTGGAGAAGGGTGCTGATACAACGCCAGGCTTGTCTCACGAAAGCAGTGACTTGAGACTCTTGGATTCCCTCAGGTAGCCTCAATTTCTTTCCTGTGGAAAAAAAACAAGGTCAACCGACCCTGGGTTTTAAATCCAAGTGAAAAGGAACCCCTGGGTTGAAGTCTACTTCTGAAACCCCTGGGTTGAAGTCTACCTGGAGGAATCGGAAAAGAAGAAAAAGACCTGGGTTTAAGTCAAGGCAAATTCCTGGGTATATGCCTACCCGACATGGAACTCTCCCTGTCACGTCCGCTTCCTTGCCTCCGGCCAGCGGTCGTACAGCGCCCCCCGCAGCCAAAAGCCCAGCACCGCCGAGGTGCCCCACCCCAGGCCCAGCACCACCCCTGCGTCCACCGCCTGGCGCTTGGAAAAACGGACGACGCCGGGGTCCAGTGGAGCCAAAAGGAAACGCCGGGGGGCCCGTTTTTGGAAGGGAACCAGTTTTTTGGGGGAAAAGTGAGGAAACATCGGGTTGTCTTTGAACGGATCCAAATTTTGGGGGGAAAGTGAGGAAACCTCCGGGTTTTGAACGAATGAGGCTTCAACAGAATGACAACCCGCACATCGCCTTCGAACATCAAGTCTGGCTAAAACTAGGCGAAACGCCAGAAGGGAAAAATCAAACGTGCCCTTGGTCCGCGCTTCCTATAAAGGGCTGTGTAGTTTCACGCATTATCTATGTGTGATCATGAACTCATTGGATGGACAGTCCACCACCCCCCGCCCCCCCCCACTCCCCTCCCCACCCCCCGATCCCATTCTAATTATTTAGGTACATTTCTCGCATTGCAGAAGTGCTCCAGCCTGGCGCCACGGGTACGGAAGATGCGGCACCTAGGTGTGGAAGGGGGTGGGATGAAGGTCCCCCCAGCTCCATGTGGCTGTGTCCTGGTCTGAGGCCACATTTGTTGATTTGCTTTAGAGGAAAACCAAAGGAGCAAACCAGAAACTAAGTGAAACTTCCAGGGGGATGCCCCCTCCCCTCGCCCAATTTCGTTCTTCCAAAAGTTGGGGATCCTTAGGGCCGCCTGAGCGCCTCCCGATGCTGAACAACTATGCTGTGCCTGGCGTGCTGCGTGCTCGCGCGGAAAACAAAACATGCTTGGCATCGCTGGCTGAGTTCGGTTCAACCTTTAGGGCTCACTCGCGCTCCTCTGTCTAGCTTTTGGCCCAACTTGTTGGGACTTAAGTTCTGAACGCCCCAGAGTCGTCTAGGGGCTAGAAACATGTGAAGGGTTCTCGAAATGAGACCCCAAGGAGCGGATTCAACTTCCTTTCCTCAGATCGGAAAGGGGGCCCATGTCCAACTTTAAATACAACTGCCTGGATTTCGCCGAGAGCTGAGTGAACTTTGGCAAATCTTGGGATCCCAAAGCTCCTGTTGCGCGGTTTTTGAAAAACCAGAGGCGCGCGCTTTTGGGCCCTTTATTGGAAACTCAGCATGAAATCAGTTTGGAGAAGTCCGTAGATGGTCGCCTCCCCGACACGTCCGCAATCCCATTTGAAGCAGAGGCGCGGAAAGGGCAAGGCCTGGAATCAGCAGAGCTATGAGCAGCCAACTCTTGCCTCAGATCCCGCTGCAATTTCCATGTACACATCGGCGTATCCGAATTCGTTCGCGTGGCTTTCCTGACAGAGGGTGCCCTTTTGTCTGGCCAAACAACAGCCCCGACATTGTGAAAGAATGTCGGCGATCAGGCAACAAATTTATCTTGTCTCAGCACATCATTGAGCTTGCTATTCTACCAATTGTTGCTCAGAATTAGAAGGAAAACGGCTCTCCTGGCTCAATTTCTTGCATGGGCTTGGGGAACTGTGACATGTCTTGCCCGTCAAAGCATGACACGGCTCAAAAGAGCCAGTCGAGAGCAAATGTAGAAACGACGCTGTTTTCATCATGGAGGTTCTGGAGATCATTTCAAACAGACCGAACACACATGTTCGTGCAAACCTGCAACTTCAGCGTGCTTCAGCAAGTCCAACACGGGCGCACCCCAGGTGTGAGGTTCTTGGTCGCTGCCTTCCTCTCCCTCCGTCCCAATCTGCCCCGTGCCCGCTCCCTCCCTGTCCCCTCTTTCTCCCCAGAGGACCCGAAATTCAATATGGCAATCACCTCCGGAAACCTTGACTAACAGACCAAACATGGAAACCCGAAACCTTCCAAGGTCCGCTTTGGACATGGGTTACCGCACACCTCTGGCTGTGAGTCAGAGGGAAACAAAAAAAGATACCAACCCGGAGGACACCGCGACCAGAACCACAAGGCTGTGGGTCAAACCCAGGAAACCCCTGGTGAACATCAAAATAGGTGGCAACTGGATGTTCATCCACCCAAAAATGGGATCGCCATAGGTTCTGCAACCCATGGCCACATGAAGGTCGGACAAGCTCAGCTCCTTCCGCCCTTTGGCCCTCTCGCCCAGGTGCAGAGCCGCTTCGGGGTGGCAGACACCAAGCCAGCCACGAAGAAGGGTGCCAAGAGCAGCTCCCAGCAGGGGGAGTCTCCTGACACTCGGATGGATCCATCCGCGAGGGTGGCTCTGGTTTAGGGTGGTTTGATTTGGCTTGGCTTGGTTTGGTTGGCTGGTTGGTTTTGGTTGCCGGGCATGTTGTCCTTGAACAACCCAGACCTGAACCCCCCTAAATGAAACTAAACACTAGAAATCCGGGCGCAGAACAGTAAGGCTTAGATCGACGGTGCATCAGAAACCCAAATCTCTAAACACCATTTGGGTTTGGTGAAAACTGGGGAAATCAAACCGAATGGACCAAACCAGCATGAAAACTCGCTGGTCCAGCCGTCAAACGGGCGCCCAAAGTGCAGCTGAATGACGTGAAACCCAAAGACAGGGGATGCCATCCTGCATGAGTGGCCGGGGTCTTGGACCGCGAATCTGTCGAATGGTGATACGTCCAGAGCCAAAATGTGTCCAGCCACCCAAAGTAGCTCAGTCTTGCACCTTTGCTTTGAAGGGCCGAAGAATCAATGCCCCATGTTGTCTCTCGGCAGAAGCGAGCATCGTATTTGAACTGTTTTCTTTGGTCACCTGTATCCGGTCAGAACTCCTGCCTGGCAGGGATGTGCTTGACCATCCTTGTCATCAAGGAAGACACTTGCAGCCATATGCCTGTGCATCAAAAGAGGGAACCAACTGCCAGATGCTTTCATCGCATGACGGCATTCCGAAGGCGATCCCATGTTGCGCAATCGGCAAACCCCCATGTCACAGGGTGGTTTTCAACCAAGCCACGGTGAATGTCCAATACTGCAAGTAAACTGGATTACAAACGGTGAATTCTCTAAGAGAACATAGGGCCAAAACTCATCCTGGGTGCCATCCATCCCCAATCCACGCGTCGTACTGGACAGACTGCTCCGGAATTGGATTAGCACATACCATGCGCAGGCATGGTGACATGGTAAGTGTTTGTTAAGAGTAATGTTACGCAACTCCAAAACTGTTTTTTCTCTGACCCGCCTTCCGCCTTCCGCCCCGCCCCAATTTCCCCCCCCCTCCCCCCCCCCTTCCCCCCCCGCCCCTCACCGGCTCTCCTTGCAACTCCCTGGAGCGCTTCACCAACAGCGGCGCGAAGCTCAGCTGAAAGGCGCGGATCCCCTCCACCACCAGCAGGAACACGCAGATGGACGCCTCAGACATGGGGCCACCCGGCCGTCGGGGCCGGCCGTGGGCCGACCGAAGCCCTGGTCAAATTGGGGGGAGCCGAGCCAAAGCCGCTGGAAAAAAGGCAGCGCCGGGGCGCCGGGCCGCGCCAAAGGGAAGGGGAGGAAGGGGTGAGGAGCTAGGATCGCCCACCTTTTTGGGGGTGAAGAGGCTTGGAGGTCGCAGGCTGGCAGGTTTGCTAGAAGTTAAAAAGTCCACTGGCGCACTTGCGCATGTCCAACCCACTGAGGGATAAAACAGGGATTCATCTCTCCCCACCAGAATGAAGGTTGAGGCTAGGGCTCGAGCCTACCTCCCACAACTGAATTCGTGGGAATGCGCCCAATGCGCCACAGGTTCCGCTGCCACACTCGGACAACAAGGGGCAGGTCTGTCCACATTGGCCAGTCATCCTCAGACCAGCCCTGGCTTACCAACCTTCTTTGCACTCATTTGCTGCACGTATCAATCAAACCAAAGTCATGTAAAGAACTAAGGGCTGCACCTTACTAGTCCAATGAAACCTTCATTGAAATGGAGTTCTTGATGTGCAAGCTGGAACTTCGAGCACTAAGCCGTCCCCTGCCTCAACCACTTGGAAAGGCTTGACGTTGTTGCTGGTCTTGGATGGTTGCCTACCCTCAAATCGGGAAAATTTACCCTGCTCTCCCACTGCTAGCATGCATCATCAACAAACCTCTGAAACTAGTAAATCCAAACAGCTTGCAAACTAGATGGACCAAGGCTTGTCTCACGAACCCACGCGTGAAGACCTCTTCCACCTTTGGCTGATACGGACTTGCCAAAATCGGGGGGCACCCTCCGGCCGCGGTTTTCCGGCCGCCGGCCCTCCGGCCGAGGCACGTAGCCGACCCACTGCCCGGCTGTGAGGTCCATACGTTGGAAGGGCTCCATGGATCGACCCAGCTCCACCACAATGCAATCCAGGAAGATGTAGACCCAGCACCCAATGCCTTGGTCAGTCCAAAGAAGGACCAATTCCTGCCAGAAAACGGGACTTTGGTTGATGCGTTGGTCAAAGTTGATTTCCTTTAGCCCAACGGGAGACAACACACGGAAAAACCCACCCCGAAAAAACTTTGCTTGGTCGAACATGTTTGATACCTTTGGCCCCAGAAGGATTCCCCTTGTGCTGATTGACCAAGCCAAAAGGATCCCTTCTGTGACTCCAAATAAATCAGCAGGACCAAATCAATCAACAACATGTGTGACAACAAACTCAGCATCCGACAAAATCCTGTATGAAGTTTGTTGCGCTTCAGAAAGTGTCCCGCGTAGCTAGAAGAAAAGGAATGAAACCAGGTCAGCCCCCAAACATCCGCATGGTTCATCAACATGGCGTGAGCTGAAAGGTGAAAAATCCGCAAGACTCCCCGAAAAAAAATACGAAGAATAGAAAAAAAAGGAACTGAGGGTTGGAAGCTCGCAGCTCACGTAAATTCTTCCAGCTTCATTTTGAGGTCCCTCTCTAAGGGCGCCTGGCGGCTTTTATTTTTGTGCGGGCCGCTTCTGGTGATGCCAACATCTTTGGGCTCCCAAAGGCTCAAGTTCTGAATTGAGCCAAAATTGGAACCAGGAAGAAGGGGCCTGGACAAAAACTGCCCAACAACTCTCTTGCAGCTTTCTTTGTCTTTGGGAGGCTACCCAAGTAATCTTACCCAAAGCTCAAGAAAATCATGGAAACATTGCTGTCACTTTTAGCTTGTCCCATGCACCCGGGCTTTCGACTTTTTGGACTTTTAGGACCATCGAAAACCCGCTCCAAAGCGCCCCAGATCTGCGCCGCAATGGCAGCCTTGGGCCGGCCCATCGCGGCCATGGCTCCGGCTTTTGGGCAGCCCAAGGTGTCCGCTGGCCGGCGGATTGCTCTGCTTTGCTGGTAGTATGTGCCCTCGGGTTTTTGAGTTGCTTCACGCAAAACATGGGTTTGTGCAAGCTACAGGCTATGTAATTATTGTACCTCTGCCAGTACTTTCTCAAGTGAACCTAGTGTACTCGGATGAGTACAACCTGTGTCTCAAAATGATTCGTACACAGTCCGGCTTGGCTGCGTCAGCCAATACACTCGTGTCTTTGCGGTGACAAGCAACATCTCTATCATCGGCATCAATCAGAAACCCGGACAACAATAGCACAGGGCTGAAATGTGAGATGCCAGTCATGCATCTTTGTCCATCATGCACTATGAGTCATCCACCAAACCACATCTGCGACAAACATCCAACCCCCACGCCTGCAGCTCCTGCTCGTGCCTCGGATCCCGGCGAGTCTCAGTTTGGGGGCTGACACGGGACACCAATGACGTCTCTGCCAGCCAAAGCCAAGTGACAGGGGTGGATGACGCCCTCACAGTTCCCTTGATCCTGCATATCCAGTTGATGCCTGAACCTAGTTCTTGCCAAGACCTGCCATGCAAAAGACAAACGCGCCCTCAGTGCGCTTAGACATAAGTAAGAACAACCAACAAGCAATATGCAATAAGCACGTGCAAGTAAGAGTCCTTCAATTCAACAGATTGTTGCTACGCGGCAAAACCTGCCCAAACTACTCCACGCTTCCCATGTGCTTGCCTCTGTGGATCCACACGGGGAATCACCCATGACCTCCACATGTCCATTTTTCCAAAACCGCCACCCATTTTAGAACCGATTTGAGTGGTTGGATTGAATCGGATGTTCACTGCTAACCGGAATTTATGACCCATGGCCACATGGCTGTGGGTCAAACTTCAAGAGCTAGGGTTACTCAATTTTAGTCTTTGTCCCATTTACCAAGGTGCCATGTTGGTACATGTTTTGGAGCCACAGCCACATGTCCATGTCCAAACCTCCGCATCAGTCCTTTCCCGAAGCACTCGGCCCCTGGCGTGGCACTCGGGCCCGGGCTCGCAGGGCCTCAACGACCAAACCGCAACCGGGAGGTGAAAACCAGCTGATTTGGGGAGGGGGTTTGGGGTTTCCCAACTTGTGGTTTTCCTGTGAGCTTCCCTTTTACAATAAAGATAGAAAGGGTAGCAGCTAAAAAAGACTCACTCAAACAATTCACTAACCCAGCCAAAGCGACAAAGCGGCAAATCGGCCCGGCTACCCACTTCGGGGGACAGAGAAACGCCCTGAATCACACAAATGATAGTGACCGCCCGGGCTGGCTGTTGCAAAGACGCATCACCCCAAGAATATACTCACTCAAACTTGGCAAACGGGTCACTGAACCAGCCCACAACGGGAATAGTGTCTCTGTGCTCAAACCTTTCTGGGGTTGGCCTACCCATTTCGACAAAGGTCAAGAGGCGCCGGCAAAGCACTGTCGGCTCCAAGGTTTGGCACCCACCATCTTCATTCACATGCAAACAAATCAATAAATAATTAAAAAATTAAAATAAAAAAATGAATGAAATGAATGAAATGAATGAAAGAATGAAATGAATGAAAGAATGAAATGAATGAAATGAATGAAATGAATGAAAGAATGAAATGAATGAAATGAATGAAATGAATGAAAGAATGAAATGAATGAAAGAATGAAATGAATGAAAGAATGAAATGAATGAAATGAAATGAATGATGAAATGAATGAAAGAATGAAATGAATGAAATGAATGAAATGAATGAAAGAATGAAATGAATGAAATGAATGAAAAATGAATGAAATGAATGAAATGAATGAAATGAATGAAATGAATGAAATGAATGAAATGAATGAAATGAATGAAATGAATGAAATGAATGAAATGAATGAAATGAATGAAATGAATGAAATGAATGAAATGAATGAAATGAATGAAATGAATGAAATGAATGAAATGAATGAAATGAATGAAATGAATGAAATGAATGAAATGAATGAAATGAATGAAATGAATGAAATGAATGAAATGAATGAATGATGAATGAAATGAATGAAATGAATGAAATGAATGAAAGAATGAAATGAATGAAAGAATGAAATGAATGAAATGAATGAAATGAATGAATGAATGATGAATGAAATGAATGAAATGAATGAAATGAATGAAATGAAATGAATGAAATGAAATGAATGAAAGAATGAAATGAATGAAATGAATGAAATGAATGAAATGAATGAAATGAAAGAATGAAATGAATGAAAGAATGAAATGAATGAAATGAATGAAATGAATGAAAGAATGAATGAATGATGAATGAAATGAATGAAATGAATGAAATGAATGAAAGAATGAAATGAATGAATGAATGAAATGAATGAATGAATGAATGAAATGAATGAAATGAATGAAATGAATGAAAGAATGAAATGAATGAAAGAATGAATGAATGAAATGAATGAAATGAATGAAATGAATGAAATGAATGAAATGAATGAAATGAATGAAATGAATGAAATGAAATGAATGAATGAAAGAATGAAATGAATGAAATGAATGAAATGAATGAAATGAATGAAATGAATGAAATGAATGAAAGAATGAAATGAATGAAATGAATGAAAGAATGAAATGAATGAAATGAATGAAAGAATGAAATGAATGAAATGAATGAAATGAATGAAATGAATGAAATGAATGAAAGAATGAAATGAATGAAATGAATGAAATGAATGAAATGAATGAAATGAATGAAATGAATGGACATGAAATGAAATGAAATGAAATGAAATGAAATGAAATGAAATGAAATGAAATTAAATTAAATGGAATGGAATGGAATGGAATGAAAATGAGATGAGATGAAATGAAATGAAATGAAATGAAATGAAACGAAATGAAATGGAATGGAATGGAATGGAATGAAATGAAATGAAATGAAATGGAATGGAATGGAATGGAATGAATGAATGAATGAATGAATGAGTGAGTGAGTAAGTGAATGAATGAATGAATAAATAATCAAATATGTCAGATATTCCTGGTTGAAGGGATTCGGTTCCTTGGGATTGACCCCTAGTGGCCCCAGCTTTCATCTCGGGTGCCCTTCTGCCTGACCGGCTCAAGCGGCCGCAACCTGACCGGGAAACTCGTCAACAACTCTCGCAGGCAGCGAAAACGGTCGCGCTTGCAAGCGCGTCAAAGCAAGCTTCAGCCTCGTGAACTTTGCATGCCCTTTTGTATGGTTGTCCTAACCAGTTGGGCATGTGTCAAAATAGGAGGACCCATAAACGGTGGATGTTGCGGTGTCTGTTTCATTCAAAATACTCAGACCCATTTATGCCCAAACACCCCAAACACCCCCCCGCTGAGGCCGGGAACCCCCCGCCAGCTCCATCTGCGTGCCTGGCAACCATGTCACTCCTAAAACTTGCGACCTGTGACCTGAAGCACACCCATCCAGATTCAGCAATCCAATCCATTCAGCCGAAAAAAGGAATACTAAGAGGAGTGTCCATGGCATCTAGCAGCATCATAAGAATCCTTGCTCAACACATCATCACCTCGCTAGATGCATGGGTCCGCCAAACAGCTTCGTAAAAAATATTGTGCCTGAATACCGCAGGAATGCCCAGGAGAAGTTCTTCCCTCAACACAGCCTCAGTGGAGCCGTGAGCGCTCGGAGTATTGAGCTGCCAAGAGATTAGGCACTGGCAGCATTGGCAGCTACCTAACACACCCCGCGTGCGCACCTGGAATTGCCAGCTCACCAAGCATTGCACTTTCCATGGTTCTCTCACCAAGGGGCACGATGGCAGTTGATGATGCGGACATTGTAAGCTGCCGCCCGTTCCCATTTTCCTGGGGCACATCCTACCATTCTCAGGGTCTGCGAGAAGCGACTGGAAAATCCGTTCAACATGTCCCTCCCCCCAACGTGCCTTTCACGGGCCGCCTGCGCACGAGAGAGAGCAGACTTTTCGGCTTTCGGCGGCGTGGAGGAGGCGAAACTCAGAGCTCTGGAGGACCGGTGATCAATTTTCAGGATTTCCCGTGAATTGATTCCCCCAACCAGGAACCACCTGATGTTAACATTCCAGACCAAGATGATACGAAACTAATATACAACCAACAATTAGAACAGGCCCTCAGCGCATTGGGAGAAGACCGCGATGGACAAATGTTCTTTGCAAAAGCACGATCCCTGCTGTGCCGCTGGCGCCTGCTGCCTAACAAGAGGTACAGTAGCGCGGCTGCGAATGACTCAGACACCCTCGAATCTTCGATTTCCGAACAGCCATGCAGCAAGACCTCATGGCAATACAGGAGCAATCCATCCCGCATACATCCAAGGAGCGCACCTCTTGCACGCCACCGAATAAGATTTGCCTGGTGAGATGTTCGAATGGTAGTCATGTTCATTTGGCAAGCATCTGTTCAAAACATTTCTCCATCAAGATATGCGCAAAGGCAATCCTGCTCAGCTTTCTCCACAACAAAGGTAGGGCGGCTTGGCGAACGTTGGCATGACAAATGGGCTAGGTTGAGGTGATCAACGATGTAAAAAGGCACTGCAGCGCGTAGAATGATGTTGGCCATCTTTGGCAAGTGATCATAGGTGTCCTTTTTGGAAAATAGATGGCCCTGGTAGATGATTGAAGCACCAGGTAAACCAGGAATCGCCTTCTATGGTTTAAGCAAAACAACCAAACAAATTGACACCTGTGCAAGTAAGGTTTGTTGCATTCGAGATCATTGGGTCTTTACAAAAATGGACTTCCCACGGACCGGTGACCCCAACGGAACCGATCAAGCCACATGGCCATGGGTCAACAGCCAAATCGGTGAGCCCCCAGACATCCCAATCCAACCAGAATCGGTCCTAAAATGGGGGGTGAATTCACCCACCAAAATTGGATCCCAAAACGGTTGTGACAACAGCCAAATTCCAATCGAAACAGCTGACCAATTCC